CCTAGTGGCATGAGGAGAGAAGTGATGTAAAAGCAGCCCAGTGGACAGCTGTGTGCTTTAGGACAGATTGTCCTACTTCCACTGGAGAAACTTCAGGTTTAGCGGAGATGCAGTAATGTAAGTGAAGAGAGCAATGGCCACAAGCATTTCCCACAGTGAAGTGGGCACGGAGCAAGCAACTCAAAAGGAAAGCAGTTACCCTTGCATTTCTGCTTCACTTGCTGCCCAAAAGGAGGGCCTTCAAGGAAAGCCACATCTGCCTTATTGTGGTCCAATAGCACTGAGTGCCAAAGCCACAGTTCTGGCTGTCCACAGGAGGACTGCATCTACCTGCCAAGAGTGAAAACATGCACACATACACGCACGCACAGTCAAGAAAGCACTGAGCCAATGTCACAGAGTGATGCTACAGCGCCTTGTATTATTGAAAGTACCAATTTCTAAATGATGCATAAAAGTAAGGTTCCTGACCACTTACGGTCATTAAGAGATGGCTTGACACAGGTCAACAGGGGATAGGTATGTTAGCTTCAGATTCACACTAAATGCAAATAATCTTGTACAACTTTTAGCAGAGAAGATCCTTTAAAAAGCTTTAAAAAAAGTTACTTGAAAACAGACCATCCAATCGTTATCATATTATAGCATGGAAAAATAAAATACTTTGTAAGTTCTGGGAGAAAGTCTGAAACTTCCAGGTGCAACACACTGTGTAGGTCTCTGAAATTATAATTACACTAAGTAGTGTCAAAACAGCTGCAATAATGAGATACTATAAGGAAATGATTGACTATATCTTGAGGAAAATCCTTAAAGGTTTTTTTTCCCATTCTGTGCGAGAAATAGTCTTCTTTTCCTCTGAAGCAGCTAAACTAGTGCTTTTCAGACAGCATCGACTTTCAAGTTGTGCATGGAGCCCTCTTCTGGAGAAATTTGAAAAAATAAGGTAGGTAAAGAAGAGTTCTTTCAGCAGTGTGGTATACCTATTTGGGGAAAGTGCTCTGCGACTACCTTGATTCATTATATAAAAGCATACGTGAAATCTGTGCTTTCTGCCATGAACGCAAATATACCTAAATAGATTATTTTTCTTCTTTCAGCCTTGACAACATTCCCAAACACTGTGTTTTCCTTATGTTGTAAGTTTTAGTGTCAGATGTCTATGTATATCTTGCGAACAACCACTTCTGATAGCTAATTTGGACAACAACCCAATGCTACCACTGCCGCACTCTTCTGTGTACTGCACTGACATACCTAAGTAAATAAGTAATCCCAGTAAAGAACCTTATTCACCTTTGAAACCTTCTGCCTGCAAGTTTTAGAAAACATCAGTTTTCAATAACGCACTTTGATTTAGGATGGCAAACTATTTTAAGCAGCCATAGAGATTTACTACTGAAGTGCATGTTGCACTGGATTGCCCAGATGCAAGCTACCAGCATGCATTCAGTACTTTCACTGGCAACTTCAAATTGAAGAAGTGGGATAGCATATATGCACTTTCAAAGTCACCGACCACCACCACACGGAGGGTTTCTAAGAATGCATTATCCTGTAGCCACTTATATTAAGATACTGCCAAACACTTCCTCCCTGCTCCCCACCCCTTCCCCAATCAACATACAGGAAGCACTTCATATTTATTAAATGACAGTAAAACCGTGCCATCAAGGAGACCAGGTCTTTGGGTCAATAAAGTTCAGTGCTCCATCTTGTTAATACAAGCTAATCCTTACCAAAGGCCATGAAGTATGCTTGATAAAGTAAATGAGGCATAAAGCTTGGGAAAAGAGTGGTCTCAGCCCACAGCTGAGAACCACTGATTTTTTTTTTTTTTTTTTTTTTTTAAGTGAAACAATTGAAGAATAGTTTCAAGCACTGATTTATTATTATGATGATGATGATGATGATGGACTTTTGAATAGAAAAACTTAAAAACAAGCCTTCATTTCTTGAATAGTCTCATGATCTAATAACGAGCTCTGGAAGGGGAACACATCTCCATGCTCTACACCCCCCAGCTATTGCTGCTTAGAAAACGGCCTCGCACTTTTCCGCCACTTCCACAAAAAACTGTTGCATTAGTGGCTGGCTATTACTGAGAAATCAGTTTATCAAGATTGATTTTTGCCAGTTCCACTCGCACCGTGTTGTGGAAGGTGTTATTGCGGCTGCTGTGAAAAGAAAAATAAATAAATAAGTCAATCCAGGGGAAAAAATGTGTTACAACCACTACCGCTGCCAGATGGCTGCATTTGTTTCATATGTTGTTTCTCACATTCTTCTGTTTACTTTTCTTCTCGCATGCAAGTTCTGTGGGTATGGAGTCGAGGAGAAAATCTGAACAGAATTGTAATAATTCCTCCTTTTCCCTCCCTCCTACCACCGATTGGACGCATCGCTGGCAATTAGCATTTTTCCCTGTCGGTATTCTACAGGCGCCTTCCACAAAACAGTTTTATTTATGTACTTTCTTATTACCGATTTAATTGATTTCCAAATGAATTAACTTTCTGACACCATGCATAAATTAGTATTTTTTTTTTTTTTATGTCACCAAGTAAACGCACTGGTAGATGAAGCTTCCAAATGTAATAGAGAAAGTGGATCATAGTATGAAACCCCTTGAAATACTGGACTGAGTAGCTGTGCAAGATTGAATGATGCTGATCTTGGACAACTCAGTAATGCTAGGCCTGGCCGGTACTTGGATGGGAGAATATCTTGGAATATGAGGCACTGTAGATCCAAACCAGCGAGCTGTGATTGAGAGCCTGAAGACCACACAAATTGGGTGAGTAGCTAGACTTGTTCAATCCCATTGGTGCTGCTCACCCAGTGGATAGAAATAAAGAAAGGGAAGGCTGGACTGTGCAAGGTAGTGTGGACTCAGTCCTGCAATGGGCTCAGCACACTGTCTCCAGCTCAGCAAATCATTTAAGCATGTTCTGAACTTTAAAGGCATACATTAAAGTTAAGCAGGTGCTTGAGTATTTGGCGGGATCAGGCGCTGTGCACCTTGCAGGCCCTACTAGTGCTTTGCTGACCCCGCAGTTCAAGCTGCTTGCTCAAGGGGCTGTTGGTAGAGTCGCTGAAGGCATGCCCTCCTCCGTCACATAGCTATAGCTTTTCTGATTCTTCAAAAAGAATGCAACTTGAGCTGAATAATTCTGCTTCTAAGTGGAAGCAACTCCAGTCACAGAGCAAAAAGACAGGCGGAACTGTAGTCCAGATGGCAGTCCTCGAGTCACTGGGCAGGGGGTCAGCTTAGTGCTCCCAACTGGTCACTTATGCAGCAGTGGGTTTCCCCAGGCAGTGCCCTCTCTGGAGAGCACCTGTGCCGCCCCAGCTTCCGCCTGCATTGGCAGCTTAGCTTGCCCAGCTGCCTGCCTGCATAGTCCCAGCCGGTCCTTGAATCTCAGCCCAGTCTCTCAACATTTCCATCCTGATTCCCATCTGGGCACTCCTAGCCATTCCTAGAGGTCCTATCTGAGCAGCTTACCTAACCACCTGCCCATCCGAGCATCTCCCCTTAGAGCAGTCCATGGAGCCTGCCTAGCTTTGCTCATGCAGCATCTCATAGGCACATCCCTGGCATGTGCTTTCCATGCATTTCTAGTACTCCCATCACCAGGGCATCTAGGCATCATGTATCTGACATAGTGCAGCAGTATGTATTCAGTCTACCAAAGGACAAAACTCTCTGCCATCATTCATTTTCTGTTGCTCCCTTTAGTGCCTATGTTCACAACTGAATCCACCCAACTGCCTATGCACTCACTCCCGTGGATTCCCAAACCATCGAGTCCCACCCTGTACCATAGCTTCACCAGCCACCCAAACGTGTGTCAGGTCGTACGAGAAGCTGAGCACACCAGCTCCTGATCCAAAGCTAACAGCGTGTATGTGGTCAGCTCATACAGCTACCTCCTACTCACAGCCCTTTGGCTCGTCTCAGCAGCAAAGCCTTCCCTACAATGGACCCTCACCATTCTCTCTCTCTCTGCCTGAAAAAGCAACTTAAACCCCTTTTGGGAACAGCAGGAACACAGTGATTCAGTGTCCCAAGCAGTAGTTTGGCTAGCACTGAAGGAGACACCAACCTCCTGAGGGTTAAATGCAAAGCTTTTCAAGCCCCGAGTCAAAAAGGAATTAACTTTTATCTCCACTCAGGGCACAGGATGCCAATGATACTATCACTTAACGGGAGTTTATAGAGTGACTAAGACAAAAAGATGTGAGTGCTTCACGCTGGACGACAACAAAGCAACCTCCAACATCACACAGAGCTTTCAAAACTAAACCCCTTGAATTCATATGGGGGAAGAAAGAAGCCAGAAGGGACTGAGAAGTCAGTTAGTTCTCTGCTGTGACTGACAGCAGCAGCAGGGCTTTAGCAGCCCCGTGGCTTTTAAGGGTAGGGGGGGTTTCTGTTTGCTGGCAGCAGGGATCTATTACATATAATAAGAGGAAAAGCTATAGAGCAAGTCACAAACACAGAGTATTAGACAGCTATCAAAGAAGGTGCGGGGGCACCTTATGCACGGTCTGATTTTTTTTTTTCCTCCACATTTTTTTCTTCCTCCTTTTTAAAAAGCAATAAATAACGTGAGCTGTCTAGCACAGACCCCGTTCCCCGGCACAAGCCACAGAGGAGAGAGAGACAAATCAAAGTTGCAGCATTTGATATGACAGAAAATATTGCTGCTGCAGCTGCTACTGAGACACTTGAAAGATTCCCCCCCCCAACCCAACCCCCTCCCCAAACGAAAAAAAAATATTCTCTCTCACAGAGCAAATTTGTTGTAATTGTAAATCAGAGAGGTATGAGATTCCACATTCCTAGCAACTGGCTTACAGCAGAGATCTTGCATCTTTCAACAGTAATTCAAGCAATGTCTAATTACTCAGAAATCAGACTTGAATTACAAATACTTCCAAATGCAGAAGAGGGAAGATGAAAGAAAGCCAAAAAAAACCCCACCCACTTTTCTTACCTGGGACAGTAGAAAGGACAGAGTAAGTTGAGTTTTGTGCTGCATTTTGCCAGACTAGAAGGTACCGGAGGCTTTTTCATTCATGCACTCGGCTGCACTGAGCATATTTTCACTGTGAAACAGCCTTTGAGAAGAGACTCTGCCTTGAGAGCCAGCCAACTTCCCAAATAGATCAGCAGCATCATCACTAAAGCATTGGATAGAGTCTGATGACCAGAACCAATGGCTTTACAAGGATGATTTCTTCACAAAGCATCCCCATTTTGCATCACACATACTGGGCAAGCACCTCTCACAAACACAGCACCTTTAGGAAGCATTTTGCCTTGGTGTATTTGTGCGTTTAGTTTCAGTCTAACAAATCATGCTTTATGGTTTTCAATAGTATTTTCCTTCCTGGAGAATGGAATTGCACAGGAGAAAATAGCAGCAAGTCAAAGCACCAGTGCAAAGAGCTTCTCTTTATTAAAATGTTAATAAGGTGCGCTTTATTTTCAATAAATCAAAAAAAAAAAAAAAAGTGACCACTGCAGCTCTTAGCTGCTTCCAAGCTTTGGAAGAACAAGACAGAGAAGTTTTTGATGCAGAAGAAATACAGCTTATATTTTGTGGTTTTTTCCCCCTCAATCTCACAAATCACAATGAAGACGGATCAATTTTATCCCGCAAGGGGGAGAAAAAAAATCCATCATAGGGCAATAGATTTTATTAACTGTTCAGGTAATGGCTAGACTGGTTTTTGTCTCAGTGCACTTGAATCTAGGACAAAGTTTCTAAGGTCCACACCCTTCCACAATGGGAACTTTTCTTGTTTAGAAGGAGACCGGATATTATAACAATCAGATCCCTGCCAGCTATTATAGCTCGCAACATAACGATGTGTAGGTGGGTGCCACATTAAAAGTCAAATGCCCCTTTTTACAACTTCTCACTTTCAGCTCATCAGTCACATCCCTGACTTTTTTTTTTTTTTTTTTTTTTTAATTCAGACCCCAGATTTCCTGATGGTTGTATGTCAACCTCTCCAGATGTGCCCCCCATCCAACTATCTTCTCACAGCTGGCCTTTTGACTTGGACCATCCCCTTGTTACTAGTTCCTCACTGGCCTCATCAGCCTCCTCATTGCCTCTGGTGTCTCTGCCCCTCGCCATCTCCTTACTGATAGAGGCAGTCGACAAGGATGCCTGCTGCTGCAGTTGAACGGGGCGTGCAGCTGACCGGCTGCCATCCCTCACGTGCAAGTCTCCCGCTTGGCTGCTGCCGAAGGAGGGATGGGTGGATAAAGAGTCAAGTCAGGCAGCTAGATGGGAAAGGATGCAGTTTCAAAGAAGCTGTCAACCCCTTTCCATCTTCGCCAGCATTGGCAGGAGCTTCCTGCAGTGAGAAATACAAGTCTGTAGCTTTCTCAGCCCCTCCTGGCTTTCCATTTTTATCCCAGCTGCTCTGGGTGAACTCACACCCCTTTCTCCCACAGCACAGTCAAGGAGTGAAGAAGGAGCTTGTCCTCCAACCCTGGCTCTTCCCATGTAGAAAGAGCTTGGGGGGCAAACATGCCCCATACACTGTTTGGGACGGGTTTATATCTATAAGCACATTATTTCATAGACATTAGGGCTGGAAGGGACCTCATAAGATCATCGGGTCCAGGGGGCACAAAGTCAGCCAGGATCAAAGGATCCCAGCAAGGTAGGCATTCAAATGTTTCTTAAAAGTGTGCAGAGTAGGTGCTTGCACCACTTCTGGCAAGGAGTCACTTCCAGGCCTTGGGGGCTTGGACAGTTAAGAAGTAAAACTTATAAATAGTAAATAGAGTGCAAATAGGAGGCAGCAAACATCAGCACCCTCAGTGCTGGCACTAAGACCTTCAGTGCCTTCAGCAACCTGGGATGGTTTTATCCATCCAGCATCTTCCCTAATGCCCACTCTCTGGCTGCACCAGGTACCAGTCCATTCTCTGTTGCTCCCTTCTCTAAGGCAGGAAGCCAGCTGGTCAGGACTGGAGCTATGGTGTGACATACAATCCTTGGCCACTTGGCCTTTGACTGGGACCCCTTGCTCTTTTGGCTTTCAGCCATCCTACACCACTTCTGACCATTACCCTCACTGCCTTCCAAGCCCCTCCCATAGTCCCTGGACTGCACCTTGGAGCATTTTGGTTGTAGGAATAGGTCCAAAGAGCAGTTTTACCATTAAGGCACAACACCAAAACAGGGGTTTACCCCTGACCGACAAGGGACATCCAGGACTGAAACACGATCATGCAGACCAGCCCAGAGCAGCTACAATTTTTACCAACTGGCCCTTTCTGTCCGGGGATGCTCAGTCTCTCGCTCCTCTCAGGTACAATAAAAAGCTCAAAACTCACCCCAAAGTCCAGAAGCTGCGTGCCCAGCCTCAAACCGCTCCCCAGACTGGGGCTGGCTACTCTCTTTCTCGGTTTTTTTGCACCCCACAACTATCTCCTCTCCATAGTTTCCCTCAAAACCTTGCTCTGTCTCTCTGCTGTTCCCGCCCCTGCAGTCTGTTTTTTTTAAGCAGGTGTTTCTAATTAGCAGCTCAGTCACAGCTGGGTGCAGTTGGCTCCTTCATTAACCCATCCTGTGCTGCTCTTTTCTGGGTTATTATATACCCCCACTGCCCAGTCACAGGCTTTGTATAGGATGTTGGTAAAATCCTCATCCTCCTGTATTTTATTTTTTATTTGCCATTTGTAGTAAAGGGGATGCCACCACACACTCAAGAAAGGTTTCATCCAACTTTGCTCACTGGCACATATCACACGCCTGGAAAGCCTCAGATTCCCATCACCCACAAGTGCAGCCACAGCCTTCTCCTGGATGCAAGGAAGCAGATAGCTGCCAGAAAACTCATGTAGGACTGAAACCAACTGGGTGCTTGCCAGGCTACCACTCTTCTTGTGGAAGACCACAATAGAAGTCATGCGAGGTGAGAATGCGCAGCTCCCTTAATTCATCCTCATCAGCAGGGTATTCTCAGGGAGGGACCTTCGTGCTCTTAAGGTTGCCGTATGCTATTTCTGCTGGGCTAACTGCCATGATATAGGCTCTCTGTTCTCCAAGGGGAAGGAATATATTAACACTAAGAATATTGTTTGGGGCAGGGAATGAGTAGAAGCCTTTTGAATTTGTAAAGATAGACTGCAGATGGGGCCCAGATTAGGAGAAATAAAAAAGAATAAGCATAGGCATGAACTATTATTGCTGCCTGGTGCTTATCATTTTGGAAGGTCTAAAAAAGAAAGGGTCCAATACACCCCTGTGTAAGCTTGGTGGAGGTTGCACACAAGAAATTTGGCCCATTGTATCTTTTCATTTTAGAAGCTTACATTTTCTGCTGCCCACAAATACAACCACAGCCCTCTGCCGGAGGCTGGGAACGAGACAGCTGTCAGGAAGTGTGTATTGGCCAGCACTGGAACTTGTGGCAAGACATGATGGGCACAAGAGAACCAGCTGCTCTTGTCTTTTGGAAAACCTCAGGCATAAAGGAGGAGTAACTAGATGCGATTACCATTTTTCCAAGAGGGGGATGACTCAAACCATGTGAGGGTAGGATTAGGAAGAAGTTAAAGAATGTGTTTTCGGGGTCTGTGCTTGCACAGTTGGCAGTTCTGCCAAGACAAGCTTGGCTAGGGGCACTCGGTTCTACCGCAGCTGAAGTGCCTTGGAGTATGGTTTAAATACGAGAGAGAGAGAGAGAGAAAGGAGCGCTGTAACAAGCAGCAGGCCTTCTTTCTTCTTCACAAAGCTATCATATGACTCATTCAACACCTCAGCCTAGGGGTTGTTAAGGGATTTGTCTAGTTTCCCCTCATTAGGCACAGGATCTAAAGAAGAGAGGTGGAATAATTAAGCAGTAAGTGGGGATGGGTGGGGAAAGCGGGAAGACACTTTAGTAAATATGCCTATGTTAGCAATAGGCAATGGCAGATGGACAAGTTGTCCCCATTGTATATTTTATACCTGTTGCAAAGAAATAGGATATCTTGCTTTTACACTATTAAAAGAGGATTCCCCATTGTTAGGGGAAGATGAGGATGCATTGTTTTATTCCATAAAAATCCTTTATAGTTAGTGGGACTCATTCCAGTCCTGCTCACTTACATTCCTTAGATTGTGAGTTTGGCACTGGGCTGGATCCATGCATGGGCAAACTGGGTGGCCACCTGCGACCCAGACAGAAAAGGGGCTGAAAATGGTAATTTAAAAGTTATTATTACCATTATCTCTGGTGAAGGGGGATACTAAAAGTTTGCCCAGGGCTGCCAGGAGTCTAGGCATGGTGCTGGTTTGGCATAATGTTTTCCTTATTATTTTTACATCATTTAACAGAATAGAGCCCAGACCTAACTTGGGCCCTTTAGCCCAAAGTGATGTAAAAAACACACAACACAAAAAAAAACAAAACAAAAAAAAAACAAAATTGAACACAACATAAATAATACCAATCAAAACAAATGAGCTCTTGCAACATCATATAGCAATAATCCTGTAGACTATTCCCCACTGCTGAGTTGGACCTCTATTATAGACTGCTATATCATTTTTTAAAGGAATTTGGCTCCGAGAACTGTAATACATTATGCTGCTAAAACCATTTGCAAGCTTGTAACCAGTATCCATTAGCAAAAAGTCTAGTACAAGGAGTTAATGAACAAGATAAAATATCTACGCAGACTGGAGAATTATTAGTAGTTAAAACTACTGCAAGGAAATGATTGCTATCAACTTGGAGAGGTACTTGAATCTACCGTACCCCAGAGTACATCAAGTTGTCACCAACCTTGAGTGGATTTATGTTCATAATATTCTGGTGTGGTACAGAAATATATTTATCATTTAGCCAAAGTGGAACTGAGGCACAGAAAGGCTGAGAGATTTGCTCAGGATCATACTGGATGTCTGAGGTAGAGCAAGTGATTGAATCCCAGTCTTCAGAGAGCCAGGGTAGTCCCAGAAGCACTGCACCTGCCTTTTTTCTACAGAGAACAAGATTTTATGGTCAAAATAAACCTTCCTGGAGGACATGACGGCGTCCACAGTATTTCCACTCCAGAATAAGACTGTACTAGCATACAGCTGAAGTGTGACAAGACCTCCTTGGATCATGTTCCTCTCTTCACCCAGCTCATCCCCTTCCCCAACCAAAAAAACTGGGGGGGTGGGGGGGGAAGAAGAAAAAAAGCCAAACAAACAAATCCCCAAACCAAAGAAAACTTGCATATTTTGACTAAATTCCCATTTTTTAGAACAGATGTAACTTCCAAAACTGATGAGGGTACAACAAGTTATGCCAATGCAGAATGCGACACACAGCTTTTAACTGGTGCCTTGCCAACAGGAAGAGGTATGACTCCTTGCTTCCCTTAGGGCTCCTACTTTACTGAATAAGGCAAGAAAAAGAGTTTATTTTGGCAAGGTAAACACTATTTTCCCAAGTCCCTTTAAACCCAAATCCTGCTCATAAATTCAGATCAGAGTAACTAAATTAAATGAATAAATGCACAAACAGTATCATTCCCTATTTTCATTGCAGCTGCACCATGTCACAGCCATCATTTGACGATACCGTTGGTAAGATTATGTATAACAACAAAAAGGGCTACCTTTTTTAATAAAAGAAAAAAAAAATACAGATCCACTGAAAACAACTCAGAAAAACAGAGAGAATACAGATTAATATTTTCCAGAGGCTTTTGTAAGAAGCATCCACAAAAAAGAAAGAAAAAAAAAAAAAATCAAGACATGCAGCAGGTATTATGGGAAAGTTAATATTAAGAAACAAATGAAACAGTATAACATTGTGTGGTGAACTTGTGACCGAGTGATAGCTTCTAAAGCCCAATCAAATGCCAGCCAAGAAATTCACAGTTAAAACTGAGATATAGTCTTTCACTGCTGTACTTATGGGTTAAAATGTACATATTCTCATGAGAGAGGGGGCATTTCAAGTATTCTGCATTTTATATAGCTCACTTGTGAGAAGCACACTTCACCAACAAATAGCAGTAAGCCTGCTTAATTTTTCATCTTTTCATACAGGAAAAACACATGGATAAATATAGCTTAGAGTGAATGTAAGGGGAGGGGGGGGAGGGAAAAAGAGAGAGGAGAGAGAAAAAGAATGTGTCAGTCTTTGAATATATTGGCATACTAGGCTCTAAGTTACATATAGGAAGAATGTGGTAGAGTTCAGGAATGACCAAAGATGGGGCACACACAGGATAAGTACAGACAGTCAAAGAGCCCAAGATTGACTCAATTCATTCTTCAAAGGTTTGTCTAAACTGCACAGATTGAACAGATAAGCAAATGAACAGACATTCACTTTTGATTCTGGAAAGGCAGCCACATCCCTGCAGTGGCCCAGACCAGATGGCAGGGGGTGCTAGAGTACACCTTCCTGCTTGGCTGAAGCAGACAGCTTGGGCCAAGGATAGCAGCCTACATCCATCCAGGTTTATCTTAAACCGGTTTTGGCCATTTTGAAAGTGGTTTATATGCGCTGAACTTCTGTTGCGTTACAGATTTGAACTAGTTTCTAATCACTTGCACCAGTTTGTGTGTGCAATTTCTGTCCCTAGCCAAACTCACTTTAAGTTAGAGAGCTGGACAGTAACCAATATTTTCTTTCCAGTAATTAAAAAAAAAAAATTCCACTGTCCTGATTCAGAACAAAAAGTTGAAATATGAAAAGTTTGAAAAAGTGTTATAAGTATGGTTCAGGTATAATCCATTCCTTTTATATTAAAATAAATATCTTAAATTTTGAAACAAAAAGCTGCCTGGTCGAGTTGTTTGAAATGCTGTGTACCACCTCTAAAATGGTGCTCAAGTTCTGAAATTGTTGAGTGACCCTCTCCCACAAAGAATCTCTCTGCAAGGCACCAAGGACACCAAAACTAGCTCTGTATGATTATATAAAATTCTCCTCAGGGCTAATTAGCCCAGGCAAACTGCCCACACGAAGGTAACAATACTGCCTCTAGGTATATCTGCACAACACTGTGTAATGGGCTGTGGGCCAACCCAAGCAGTTTCATTTCAATGGTACCTTCCCTTATGACCAAAAGAAATGACTTTGTTGCCAGAGAAGAATTGATTGCAGGACACAATTAGAAAATCTTCAAACTGATGTTGTTCTCAGCAGTTTCCCAGTACCTGAAAATTTAGAATTATATCAAAGTAAATTAAGCACTTTTCCTTCTCTCAGAATTTTCTAGGTCAATCAAACAGTGTGTCAAAAGCTGTCATCTTGTCACATTCACGTGAACGGCGGAAATTAACTCTGTATGCCTGTCAGACTTTGTGTGACTTGAGAAATAAACAAGGTATTTCTTTAACACTGCAGGAAAGCAATGCATTTGAGGCACAGAAGTCACACGAATGGGAGCCATCTCTGTAAGTATTTAATCCTCAGTTTTGTCCTCCTGCTTATAATACTCAGTTTAAGAACTGGTTATGCTGGGTGACAACTACTAGGGCTGTGCGGAGCTTCGGGTGGCGATTAGATTTGGAGGAGACTCGGCCCAATTTGGTGTCCGAGTCTCCAAATCTGAATCGAATCAGGGGACCAATTTAAAAAGGTCCAAATCAATTCCAAAGATTTGGAGAGCTTTGAGGATTCGGGCAGTCCCTGGTGGCTGTAGCAGGCAGCTGTAGCTGACTCCGAGCTGATAAGTACTAG